ATACGACTGAACCAATTTAGTAACACAAAATCAAGGCTCCTCTCCGAATATATGAAATAAATTCTCGTATATACCCTTTTTTCAGTAATTAAAAACTTTCTCCATATGGCATTTTTATCTTACGCAGATGTCCTTTTTTTCGAGATTTTTTATTTTTTCCAAAATACCTTCATTTGAAACTTCAAGTTTTAAACGAACTGAAATTTTTGAAAATCAACTAGTTTGGAACTTGAGTTTTTGAACCACTTATTTCACAAAAAATTGACTAGTGTTATTCAAGTTTCAAGTGGCTTTTTTTTTTCTACGAAAAATAAAATAATATTAAGAGGTTTAGAACTTCAAAAAATGCACAAGTTTGAATATCAAGTTTTGAACCACTGAACTTTCAAATATCGATTTGGAAATCCAAGTTCTGAATTCACATGTCACTCAAAAACAGACACCAGTTTGGAATTGAGGATATGTTTTAAATAATAAAAACGCTAGAAAAATCAGTATACATAATAAAAAAATTAGAAACATTGTTTAAAGGGTGTGGTTTGCAACCTTAAACAATCCAATTAAGGTGCACCTCTAAATTTTATCATAAATGTAATTTTCATATAAAAAATTCTTAGGATGACTTGAGAATCTATTTTAATATCTAATTATAAAGATTTAAACTCTAAAAATGGTTTAAATCAAGTAAATCTATAAACACATGAAAATCTAAAAAATGGACGGTGCAGATAATGTGTTGCAAGATACACTATTTTGTGGACTCGAAATCTTTTTTTTCTTTTCATATTCATACATCTCAATGTCGAGACGATCAATTAGTGGATTTTCCAATATCCAAACAACCTTTTATGATGGATTTTTGGGGTGCATCTTTGATGCTACAGTTCAAGATTGTAACCTTATATAAACTTTTTCCATATTTAAATACCACAAAAAGAAATATTTACAAATAATAGAAAAAAATCCCTAGACAGCCTTGGCGATTAAGAGAAAACAAAAACACACTCATATACAGGAAAACAAATACTCAATGAAAGATCTTAATTTCCACCGAAAAGTCCACTACAAAAAAATACAATGATCACTCACATAGAGTACCATATATCCAAAAAAAATAAAAAATAAAACATGATGCTTCTAGTTCTAGGCTAAATTTTAAAATACTAAAATAAAATACGAGTAAAAACCTACACCCTTTTGCTTTTAATAAGAACACTCTCAAGTGTAAGAGGGAGGGTCCCACCCAGGTTGGATTGGCCGACAGTGTGCACCGCTGGCCATTTGCTAGCCAAGTACAAAGAAAAGAAAGCGAAAAACAGGATATATATAGATATATATTTTAATGCAAATAAATAAATTATATCTCCTTTCAAAAATAGAAGTGTTTGTATAAGGGTGCAACCTTTAAGTGTATAAGTAAGGTTTACCTCTGAAATTTTAGCGGAAAAGTTTAAATGTATAGATAAAAAGAAAGAAATGACTTTTAAATCCTAAAAAAATTGATCTTGTAATAATATTTTTAGACGGTCTATATTCAAGATTTTCAAGTATTTATAAATCTCCTTTATGTGTACCATTTTTAAAATTTTAAATTTAATAATTAGATTGGACATAGATTTTCAACTTATCCTTATGTTTGAACACTAGAACAACATCTTCAACAAAATTTAGAGGTGCACTTTTTATTTGAAATTGTTAATCCATTGTAATTTAATGGTGCGTCGTAGTTACAAAGTATAAGGTAGACACCTTATCTCATCTTAATGATAAACCCAAACAAAAAAAAAAAGGAGAAAGGGTTTCAGCCCTATCAAAATAAGTAAGGCCTTGCCTCATAACTCATCGAATATTGTAATTCAAGCATGGTAGAACCTTCACATCAATTATCTCCACTTGGCAAAAAAATATTAGGATTTCAAACTCTAAAAATAACATATATTGTACTAAGTTATCTAAACTGTCCATTTCACCCTGAAAATAAGTGTTTAATGATCCACAAGATTTATACCATTTTTTTAGTTTCAAATTTTGTTGTCGGTGTTGAAATTTATATTAGTGCCACCGTAGAGATTTCGATTGGATTGCCTAAAGTGCTTGAAGAGCTAATGATTTAAGGTGAGGCTTTATTTTGCTTAGGTAGTGTTATGCCTTATAGAAACCTCATTAAAAAAAAAAAAAGCTGAAATCCATTGGTTAGAAACTTGGGCCAGTATCTTGACCGGCTACAAGGAAAAGTACGGTTGCAATCCCGGTTGAACCCAGCTAACAAACGTCTTCTCTGTCCTCCCGGTGACCGGTTCAACCGGTAACCGAAAATCTCTCTCAAATTCAGTTAATGTAGTCAACATTTTTTTTCTTTTTGTGGTTCTATTTCTTTTTATTTATTATTTATAACTGTTTTGTTATGGGAAATTGACGCTTGTGGGCCAAATGGAAGGCGCCCCATGTTCCTCTGTTGTCTTTCTATATTCCAGGTTTTAAATAGAAATTATCACAATAACCTTAACACTTTTACTTAACGACCATAATGTCGTAGTTGACCATTGTGTCCTTCCCAGCCTGCTGCTCAAGTTTGTCTTAATCGATAGCTCAACAAAATCTGAAAAAGGCTTCAAACGATAACCAAATGGTAAATTAAGGTCTAAGGTGTACTTCAAAACTCTATTTTGATATTGAAAATTCTTTTCGTTTCTTTTTTGACAATTGAAAAACTATCCAATTGATCATCTCGACATCGAGATGTATGAACATAGAAAAAAAAAAGATTTCAAGCTTAAGAAAAGTACATCTTGGGATAAATTATCTGGATTGTCTATTTCAGGATTTTCATACATATATGCTTGATTTGAATTAACTTTGAAGTTTAAATTTTTATAATTAGTAATAAAAATAAATCCTCCAGTCATTTTAAAAATTTTCGACACCAAAACTACATCTTATCACAAAGCCTCGAGGTGCACCTTATTTTGATTGTTTAATGTTGCAACCTTATGCAAACCTCACCCAAATATGAAAAATGGAAAACGGACAAAATGATGAAACCTAATTAGGGCTCTCAAGAGGCCTGGCCTTGCCCAAATGGGCATGGGAATTTTAGGCCTGTCCGGGTTGTCCTAGGGCACTCTTTTGGACTAGCCTGGGGAGGATTATCCAATTAGGGTCTGGATAGGGTTGGCAATGGGTTGGGCCGGCCCTGGCCCTAGCCTGGCCTTGTTCCCTTGAGGGCCAAGCTAGCCTAGCCTGGAGCAGGGTAAAGAGGATGTAGCTAAGGCCTGGTCTTGATCCTATCAAGGTTAGGCCACGCTAAATAAATTTTTTAAAAAATACAAAACAAATAATAAAGGAATAAGGATTGGCCCTATTTTACCTACGGCCTAAGCTCAGCCCTTGGCCCATAGTGATTTAGCTCTAATGTGGCCTTCCAGCCATATTTTCTGGCCCAACCCTAATTTTTTAAGGTTGAGATGACGGGTCGCCTGGCCCTTTGCTACCCCTAGTCTAGCAAGAAAACTTTGAGTAGATATTTATAATGAGAAAAAAAAGACTTTGTGAGTAGATATTTATAGAACGGAAAAGTTTACATGGATCCTAGGTTCTAAACAATCAAATTAGAGCCTACCTCAAAAATTTTATTAGAAAAGGTTGTTTTGATGCCCAAATATCCCCAAATTGATCATCTCAACATCAAGATGCATGTACATAAAAAAAAAGTGGATTTCAAGTTTTGAAAATAGTGCATCTTGTAACGTATTTTTGGATCGTCAATTTTCAAGATTTTCATAGATCTGCTCGATTTGCACTATTTTTTAAGCTTTAAATTTTATATTTAAAGATGAAAATATAGTTTAAGGCTATCACAAAGATTTCTAATATTAAAACCACATTTCTCGATACTATTTGAATATGGGCTCTAATTTGATTGTTTAGAGCCTCGGTTCTAGACAAACTACACCCTCTTTATAGAAAGCTCAACATCTTTTTTATCTAGTTTGGATTGGGTTTAGACCTTGTTATGAATTTGTGTTGTGTCCTAAACTAAATTTGGTGACCAAACTTATTTATGCTTAATTTGGGTTGTGCTGGGTCAAGGCAATCTCAATCCTAACCTGACTTAATTGTTGATAAATTTTACCACTACTCTTTTTGTTTTTTGGGTAATATAGTGGGGGAGAAGACCCTCTACCCGTCTTTCATTAATAAATAAGAAATAGAAAATTTATCATTCATTAGCATAAAACCCTAAAACATAACACTTATGCTAAATCATGAGTTAAAGCAAGGCAGATAAAATCCAACGAGCGAGAACGTCAAATAGTAACTCTTTAATAAGATGTAGCCCTCTTTGCCAAACCGTAGCTCCACAATAAGATGTAGTTCTCTTTACAATAATAACAGCCACCATATTGGCTACACCAAAGAAGTGGGAAATGGACCCATCACACTTAGAAAAACGTTATCGATAATTTACTGCCACAAGCAATTCTATTGAGGTCGACAGCGTGCATGAATAACATTCACGAGCAATTCTATTTACTCAAGCGCGTTTCACTTTGGAGTCGTAATAATTATATAAATCGTGAATATTAAAAAAAATAAAAACAAAAAATCCATTAGTACGAGACCGGCCAATTAACAACCCAAAATGCGCAGTGGTTAGTGCGAGATCTGCCACAATTAATCAAGGGGCTGCTCCTTCAAATTTTCCAGTCCTAAAAATTACCATTTTGCCCTTAGTTGAAGTACCCCTGAGGAACTTGTCGAGTTGGATCCAAGAAATATGGCGAAAATAGCATGAAATCCAAGGCAGAGAAGTTAACTGGCAAGCGACAAGCTGGAATGGGGTACAACTGTGGACCCGCGTTTCGTACGAGTCTTTCCAGAAATAGTTAGTGGCATTTTAGTCATTACTGTGGACGAGGGGCAGTACAGTCATTCTGTCTCTACAGCTGATGGCAATGGACTTTTGGGAGAGAGCTAATTTCGCCGTCTGTTAACGCGTTCACGCGCCTCTGTGTGTCTGTCTTTGTGGGAGAGCCCCCCTATAAATAACCCTCAAAACCCTCTCTCTTTCTTCAGATGCAAACCAAGTCACCGGCTTGCATCTGTTCTCTTCTCCTTTCTCTCTGTACCTCCTACCACATCTTCTCTCTTCTTTCTCTCTCTACAGTCAACCTATTGTCTTTAGCCACCAATTCTCCTATCTCCCCTCTCTCCCACTACACAGTAGCAATTGCATTCTCTCTCTCTCTCTCTCTCTGTGTATATCTCTCTGTTAGGCTTTTCTCTCTCTAGGTGCATTTTCTTTTTCCATTGGAGCATTTGGGGTATTTTCAGTACAGAGTTTCTCTCTCTAGAACACTCTTCGTCGTTTATCAGGGCAATTTGTTCCTCTTTGGTATTGCGATCGGTATAAATACAAATTTGTTGTACCGAATGTTTTGAGTTTCTCTCTCTGGATTGTTTACTTTTCCATGCATTTAGTCCAAATCCAAAAGTAAAAACGAAGTCTTTTCGGTTTCCCTTGCGTTAGAAACAAATCGAACATTCTCAGTTCTTTTGCTCCCCACCTGTTTCTCCTTGCATTCGTCCAAATCAGAAGTAAACGGACCACCCATTCTCAATTGCTCTGTCAATCCGGTGTTTTCTCTCTCCAGATCTGTTTGTCTCTCTAGATCACGGCCAAACATGAGGACCGCAACAGAGGACCTCTTCCCATCAACACCAGGCAAGGTGAAGATCGAGCGCACCCACGCCATCAACCGTCAGTTTCACCGATGCTTTGCATCGACGAGCACGATGTTCCTGTGGGCTCTCGTCCTCCTCGCCCTCACCGCCTTCTACCTCAGTTTCCAGTCGTTCATGGACTCCAGCACGCGCTACTTCTCGACCCCGTGGGGTGGCCTCCACTGGGAGAAGCAGGTGCGCGCATCGTGCCAGACCCGCCGTCCCGGGGGCCTCACCGTGCTTGTCACTGGTGCCGCGGGCTTCGTCGGCACCCACGTCTCACTGGCCTTGAAGAAGCGGGGCGACGGCCTGGTCGGCCTCGACAACTTCAACTCGTACTACGATCCGTCCCTGAAAAAGGCCCGCAAGGCCATTCTAGCCCGCCACGGCATGTTCGTGATCGAGGGCGACATCAACGACGCGAGATTGCTCGCGAAGCTCTTCGACATCGTCGCCTTCACCCACGTGATGCACCTTGCCGCGCAGGCTGGGGTCCGGTACGCGATCGAGAACCCGGCCTCCTACGTCCAGAGCAATGTGGCCGGCCTGGTGACATTGCTAGAAGCCTGCCGCTCTGCAAATCCCCAGCCTTCCGTAGTCTGGGCCTCGTCCAGCTCCGTCTACGGGCTCAACGAGAAGGTCCCGTTCTCTGAGCTCGACCGGACCGACCGCCCCGCCAGTCTCTATGCAGCCACGAAGAAAGCCGGAGAAGAGATCACACACACATACAATCACATCTATGGACTCTCCATCACCGGGCTTCGATTTTTCACCGTCTACGGGCCATGGGGCCGGCCCGACATGGCCTATTTCTCGTTTACTCGAAACATTTTGCAGGGAAAACGCATTACGGTATACAGAGGAAAGGATCACACTGATTTGGCCAGAGATTTTACATATATTGATGATATAGTGAAAGGTTGTGTTGCTTCTCTTGATACATCCGGTAAAAGCACTGGTTCAGGGGGCAAAAAGAAGGGCCCTGCTCCTTATAGGATCTTCAATTTGGGGAACACATCACCAGTTACAGTGCCTGATTTAGTGGGCATTTTAGAGAAACATTTGAAGGTGAAAGCAAAGAGGAATGTGGTTGAAATGCCTGGTAATGGAGATGTCCCCTTTACTCATGCTAACATCAGTTTGGCTCAGAAGGAGCTTGGGTATAAGCCCACAACTGATCTTCAAACTGGTTTGAAGAAGTTTGTAAAGTGGTACCAGTCTTACTATGGATACCATCGCGGGAAGGCCGCCTTGAACTGATAGAGAGAGAACCTGCTTTCTCTCTCTAAAACCCCGTGAGAGAAAATCTGGTCTCTCTCTTCCCCTTTCTGTACAAAACATTCTTCTTTGCTGGGAAAGAGCTTGGGTTCGCCGGAAAACATGGCCTGCTCCTTTTTTTTCCTGCGGTTTTAGCCGCAAAACGTCGGACTTCGCCGGAAAATTTGTGTTTCGCCATTTTGGTGGCGAGTTTTTCATTCGTGAGGGGGCCCGGCTTTAATTTTGGGCGGTGGGGTTACAGTGGAGGGGGCAAGAACACAGCTGTAAAGTAATGAGCGCGTGTTTCTTTGTCTTTTGACCTTACCGACAGTCGAAACTATCGATAAGGGCATTGCCTTGTTTCCTTTCGCATTAAGGTTAAAAATAGAAGGGTTTTGTTGCTATTGTGGAGAGGATTATTTTGTAATTGTAAGCATGTGGCGAGATTTCAAATTGATTTAATTAAGATATTGTTCACTTTCTATTTTTGAGCTTATCTCCATATGTTTGATCGGATTTTGAATGGAACTATTTTCTCACCTTCCCTTGATGAATTAAACCTAAAGACTTAAAAAGAGATCTTGCCCTAATCTCTCTCTAGACTTTGAATATTCCCTTCTCACTATTCTTTTGATTGATTAGAGTTTTCCTCCTAATTGAATTTTAGGTTGGTGTAATTTTCCCTTTGATTGAAGTCTAGAAATTATGAATGAATTTTATTAATTGAACTTTCCATTGAATCAGTTTTCTAATGGACTTTCTATTTTACGAATTTCACTTATTGAATTCCTTATGGATGGAGTTTTTCTCTCTCCTAATGAGCCATTTTCTCTCTCTTTTTCCTCATGGATTTTGATGTCTTTCCACGTATCCGGGATTGGGTCGAATTTATACCTTGCCTTCTCCTTTCTTTATTGTCGCGTTCCGTGATGAGAAAAGGGCTAAAAGTAAAAGGTTTCTATTCCAGCAACATTTGATAAATGCACCATGTTTTGGGTGGGAATAGCAAAAAAGTGGTTGAGAGAGCATCTTTCTTATGCTTTTGATTGGATTAGATCTCAATCCATCTTCGAGACGTACGGTCCGATGTGGGCAAAAAGTGGTTTTGGACCACGAGTTTGATCCTCGACGCATGTGATTTTCTATTTTGATTATAAATTCGTCATTAATTTTGTTGAGGTTTTTGGATTAGTTCTTGAGTTTGTGATTAATTTTTGTCGAGATGTACCATTCGTTTATACTTTTTTTATTAAGTTATTTTGTGATTAACTTATTTAGATTTTTAATAAGGGAAAAGTTTATACAGAGCCTAGGCTCTAAACAATCAAATTAGAGCCTAACTCCAAAATTTCACTAGAATAGGTTGTTTTGATGCCCAAATATCTTCAAATTGATCATCTCAAGATCAAGATGCATGGACATGAGAAAAAAATGGATTTCGAGTTTTAGAAATAGTGCATCTTATAACGCATTTTTGGGTCGTCAATTTTCAAGATTTCATAAATGTACTCAATCTATACTATTTTTGAAGCTTTAAATTTTATAATTAAAGATGAAAATATATTTTAAGACTATCACAAATATTGCCAAATTGAAACATCATTTCTTGATACCATTTGAAGGTAGGTTTTAATTTGATTGTTTAGAGCCTCGGCTCTATACAAATGGCACCTTTTTAATAATTTTCGTTGTGGGATGGGAGAATGGCACGGATGGGGCCAGGTTTGGGACATTCGGGTGTGCCGAAAAAGTTTCCCGATGGCCCCGAGATCCTATAATCCACGTGCTTACTTTATGAGAGAAACTTTTGAGTTTTGACTATCTCACGTGGAAGCAGTGTTTTTAAAACTCAGAATCCGGATCTGGCCATGGGGCACCTACAAGGACTTGGGTTTTGGTTTGCCCACCAGTTGGTAATCTAGTTTTAGATCATGTATATGGTGTCTAGCACTGGTTCGCCCTAAAGCTAGCAATGGCCCAGGCCAGCCTAGCCCAAGTCCTTGGAGTCCTGACATGGGCCCAACCCATCGGGCTGAAGGGACCTAGGGGCTTAGGCCTAAGTAAAGGCAGTATCAGGTTGGCCCTGTTGTGGTCGTGGCCTAAGATTGAATCGATACGAATTAGCCTTTAGGCCATGGTGCTTGGCCACTTGCCCGATCATTGGGCATGTGGCCCAAGCCTCAATTTTTCTGAGCTGAGCCAACTAACCAGGCCAAGCTAGTCCATTGCTAACCTTATTCCCAATGTGAATGGCGTAGTTATAAAACCTTGATTTGAAGATATAAAATGACTATTTTTTCGAGGACATTGTCACTAAGGCATGTACTGGCAAGGAATGAGTTTCCGTGACACAGCACACTCCAAACCCCCTCTTCCACGTTCTTTAGATTCGGCAAATTTGCCAAAATACACCTATGATTTGATATGATTTTAAAGTAGGGAAAATTACTAAAAACCCCCAAAATTGAGCTTATTAGACCCTTTACCCTACCTTAATCTTTTTTTTTAAAAAAAAAAACCAATTTTTTTTCGTAATACCCCCGAATTCAAAAAGTTATATATTATTTAACGAAAATACCCCTTACTGTACCTTCAACATACGAAAAAATCACATGGACGGACCCCAATTAAACTTTCATTGGACCGTGATTCATATTTGTCGGACTCATTGTACGCCAGACTGTAGATTACTAACGCTGCATCAACGCACTCCTGTATGCTAAATGCCGGACCGAGACCAAGTAATGCCGGACAAAAGCGCCGGATCGAACATCGCAAACACCGGACTGACCCCTCCAGCACAAAAAAGTAAATCAATCCCTTGATCGCGCTAAAACAGAGTCGGACTGACCCCACGTCTATAAACAAATTGTTGGATCTAGACCATAAATCGTCGGACTGCACAATAAACAAATCACCGATCTGTTCAACTAAACTGTCGGGCTAAACCCACTTTAGTAAGTAAACTGCCATACCAAAAGTAGAAACCACCGGACATCGCACATTACAGTAGAAAATCACCGGACAACCACATAAACTGCCAGACTGACCCCACTCCAGTAACTCATTTGCTGGACCCATGGTATAAATTGTCGGATAACACAAACACAAAGTCATATCACCAGACCATGCACATAAACCGCCGGACTGATCCCACTCCAGTAAGTAAATTGCTGGACATATGCTGCAAAACGCCGGACTATGCAAATATCTATAAGACTAATGCCAAACTGAGCACATACACTGCCGGACTGACCCAGTAGAATGCCGGATCGCTGCTCACGAAAGCCGGGCTACGAGCATTACAGTAACCTAATTGCCGAACTAATCCAATAGAATGCCAGAGTGGCAAAGAAAATGCCGAATCACTTTTCATGAAAGCTGGACCGAAGAAATCCAGTAAGGGAGCTCCGGTGTGTGATAGACTAGACTAACGCCTGACCGGGCACAAACGTTGTCGGACTGCTCCACCAGAATGCCGCTGCCCACGAACACCCGACTGCCCACGTTAAAGTAAGTCAGATGCCGGACAGCTTCAATAGAATGCCGGAGTGCCCCGAAAAATGCCGGATCGCTGCTCACTATAGCCGGACCGATGATACAAACAATTCCGGAGTGCCATCAGTAAGGGAGCTCCGGATTGCGTTAAAAAAATTCCAGAGTGATCGACAAAATCGTCGAACTTCTCCAGTGTAATGCCAGACTGACCTTGACACAAAAGGGTTGTCGGACTGCTGCAGTATTGTCGGACCGCGTTTAAAGATCACCGGACAGCATATTTCCAAGAAGCTAACTGCCAGTGCGCTGTACTTTCGATGCCGGAGCACCCATGAATCCAGTGAGCATTTCGCCAGATCGAAGCAATGAAGTGCCGGATTGGTCATTTGTCCAGGAAGCCTAGTGCCTGAGTGAACTGCATGGAATGTTGGAGAGTCCATGAATCCAGTGACCCTCTTGCTAGATCGAAGGAATGAAGTGCCGTATTGGTCTTTTTTCCAAGAACCCTAGTGCCAAAGTGACTTCATGGAATGCCGGAGCGCCTATGAATCCAGTGAGCATTTCGTTGAACTGAAGCAATGAAGTGCCGGATTGGTCATTTGTCTAGGAAGCCTAGTGCCTGAGTGACTTGCATGAAATGCCAAAGCGCCTTCTCTGTGTGCCGGCTCGCTGTCTATAGGTGTTGGACTGCAACATGCATTGGTTTACAAACATTTAAGTGCTTATCCAATGATCTAAAAAAAAAATACATAATTTTTGTTCATGGCCTCAACCATGTTTAAAAAAAAATACATTTTCACTCTCTTGGCCTCAACCATTTCTTTGGCCAACTTACAATAGCCTTGCCCTTATCATTTTTGTTTTTGGTTCTCTCATTTTCCTCATCAGTCTCGCTCTCTTTTTCCTCATCTCCACCATCTCCACCCTCAGTCTCTCTTTCCTCATCTCCATCATCTCCCCTGTCAGTCTTGCTTTCTTCATCTCCACTATCTCCTTCCTCGCTCCCGTTGCCATCATCTCCACCATCTAACTCCTCGCCCTCACTTCGACCATCGACCTCCACCATCTCCTCGTCATTATCTATAGGAGTATTTTGTACTAATAGATCATGGGTCGCCTGTACATAATATCAGGATTCCCCTACTAATACTTCACCACTAAGTGCAGTTTGTAGCATCCCTATACAGGTTTATCACTGCAAGTAGACAATAAAAAACAACATAAATACCACATGGGTGACCCAACATGAATAATTTGCATCTTTCCAAATTATCGCAGCACATGATCCGACATATAGTATTCTGCAATGTGAAAACTTATCAGATATGATCGGCACAACGTGTTTTCTTTACTGAGTTATCTAATGGGATGTAGTCCTCATATGGTTGTCCATTCACCTACAACAATAACATAACACAACACTGTTAATGAGTCTTTGCATTAAACACTCTCAATTGAGATATCATACAAAACATAATACTAACCATGTTAGCAACAAAAACAATAACACTAACCAAGTCAATTGAGATATCGTCAAATGCTGTTAATGGGTCTTTGCAGCATGGTTGTTTCTTCCACTTGCAAGCTCTAGCCATTTCTATAGTGATAGTTTTGGGTTTGGTGCCTAGAGCTGAGAAATGCTCATAGATTCAACACTGTAAAAAAAAAAATAAAATAGAAGTTTTAATTAAAAGCCAAAAAGACTGCATATATCTAAATATTGATTAAAGAAATATGAAAATTATCTGTAGTAGTGTTGCTAACCCACTAACATGCGGATCTCCGTTTGTGACCTTTGATAATGAACGATACAAAAAGGCAAGTGATGCTGCACCCCATCCATACTTCCCAACGTCATCGAGATCTCGAAACAATTGTAGGTAACTTGTAGGCGTGAAACCTTAAGATGCGTCGACAAATATCGTTGTGCTCACTAAATAAAGGAGTTAGGCTCGAGTGTGTTGAAGAAGTTTTACTTTGGTAGGCTCTTTTTGTAGT